AAAGGAAAGGAAAGGAAAGGAAAGGAAAGGAAAGGAAAGGAAAGGAAAGGAAAGGAAAGGAAAGGAAAGGAAAGGAAAACAAGAAAAGAAATTTGAAAGCTAGAAGTCACCGAGACCAAGGGTCTAGGTATATAGTTCTCTAGTAGCAATGACTGGTGCATTCTTAGCACAGAGGGCTGCAGTCTGTAGGACCACGCCCATTGCTTCGTTGCTTAGCTCTTTCTGATCCTGACATATTTCTTGTTCTCCAAAAGACAGTTCACAGGGTAGTGTAGGTTGTGATTCTCAGTGGTCTTTTTCTCCTTTCAATCAAGCAGTTGTCATTTTACCAAGGAAAAATTGTCTCCACTAGAGACAACTGTACTGTGGCCTCAACAATTCTACATTTGGGGGCCTGGAAACCAGATCCTGACTAGGGCTCAAAACCAAATCACCAGAGAACCTTTATTGAGCATTGAACGGGACTCTAGATGTTGTGCGCTCATATAGACACCGGTGTTTAGATGAAGAGTCACCAATCACAAGCTGTCAGGCTGCTATTAACCAAATCCCGCTTCCTGTGCCTCATGTCTCCTTATGCAACTGATGCTGATGGGGGAGGGGTACCCCCAAAACACACTTGTTGAAAATGTCACAAAGGTATCTAACACATTGTATGCAGATTTTAAAACTAAACACAAGACTCAGGTGCCTTTTAACTCTCTCTTCTTCCAGCACATTTGTGTGATCAACGAGCACGGTAAAGAAAAATATCGAATATGATGAAGCAAAACTCATCAATGTCTTTCCCCGATACAGCGATTCTTCTGCCCTGCTACTCAGGAAGCCAGGGTGTAAAGTCTGTCTCCGTAGCCATCTTTACTCAGCTAGGTATAAAAAAAAAAAAAAAACCACTGTTTTAAAAAAAAACAAGCTTCCTTTTTACAGAGATTAGGATGTAAACAGCAAAGGTTCTTTGGGAAGAGAAGACGACGCTTGCCTTTGACTCATTACAAATTAAATTTCTGCTCCCCAAAATTCCACCCACTTCATACTCCTCCTTCAGTACAGTCACTATGCGCCATGACTCTTCAGAGGAATGCACCCACCTGGTGATTCAAATATTGTTCACATATCTCCTTTAATACTGTTTGCTTTTGAAATAACATTTTACAGTAATGACCTGCAGCCCCCTTAGCTTTGGCCCTCCCTGTACCGTAAGAATGCAGCTAGGTTCCCTTGCTAAAGCAGGAGCAAAAGGACAGCTTCGCATGAGCGTCTGTTTGCCCCGTTCTGACAGGACGTTATTATCTGCTTTGACAAAGCCTTTCAGAAGTGCGGGTACAATGGATCTTAATGATGTTATGAAATGAGCCTTCACCGCGTGCACTTGAGCCCCGCTTCCTGTGTGTGCTGACAGCATGGATGTGTGCATGGACGTACTCAACTGTGTTTAATACTCTGCATTTTAATTAGGAAAAAACACAATGGCAGCAAGGCCTGCCCTCCCTAGCTGAGTTCTTTTATTCCAGTGGGACAAGGGCAAATGGTGGGCTTGAGGGGTGGGGGTGTTTTCAAAAATCAGTACTAAGCAAGTGTAAATTGTTCCTCTTATTTGCATAGAAACATAAAACAGCCTAAACATTAACAGAGGTTGAATCATTTAGCTAAATGTCATTATATGGCTTCTCACACAATCCAGGGTGCCATAAGAAGCAAGCACACATACGGAAGGTTTTGTGCATAACACACACACACACACACATACACACACACACGCATATTCATTATCACCACTATATGTGACATTTCCTAATTTGTAGGGTTTTAATTAAAAATAAGCTCACAAGTCCACAGTGCTGGGTTTCTTACCTCCTGAAAGAAGCAAATGCAAGATAAATAACTATACAGCCTTTGTTTGGTTCTGAACCATCCTGTGTGTTATATTGTTATATTGTAGAGTTCTTTAAACTAATAATAAAAAAAGATATTATGTTTCATATCTGCTTACTGTTTATATACTTTCAGTAACTGAAATGTGTATGAGCTAGCAGCCTAAATGCATGGCTGTGTGTACCTATGCCATGGTTAACGTGGATTCAATCCAAAGTGTGCACTAAGATAAGCAAGCATCAGGCCAGGAGACAGCGCTTCCCAGATTCCTCCCCAAACTTGCATCATAAGAACAAGGATTTTACTCGTGAAAGATTTCTCTGGGCCAGGCGGTGGTGGCACACGCCTTTAATCCCAACACTTGGGAGGCAGAGGCAAGTGGATTTCTGAGTTCGAGGCCAGGTCTACAGAGCGAGTTCCAGGATAGCCAGGGCTACACAGAGAAACCCTGTCTCGAAAAACCAAAAAAAAAAAAAAAAAGATTTCTCTGTAGAGTACAGACCATGCCCAGATTCCCAGGGGGAAATCACAAAGGGAGTCACTTCTGGCTTTGTCCCACACCAAAGTCACTGATTAATAATTGTGTAGAATTGAATTCATAAAATCTATATTTTATATACACTTTCCCACTATGCTATATTTCTACCCATAGGCCTAGAAAGATAAACACACTTGGTTTTGAGTAGAAATTCCCCATGAAATATACAGTTGGAAAAGGTTTTCCTAAAATGCCTTGCACTTTGATAGGCATCCTTACCATTTGTAAGGGTTCTGTTTATTCACATTAGAAATAGAATCTGATCGATTTCACAGATTGTGAAGGCTTGTATATTTCAGTATCAAAAAGAAAAATAAAAACAGTAAGTACGTAGAAGTTTAATCATTTCTGTAATTTTTTCCTATCAAAGTATTTTGACATTGATATACAAGAACATTATCCTGGGAAAAACAGTATTTCCTTTTCTCTTGCAAAACTCTAACTTCGGTTTGATACCCCCAAGTTAACTCGTATCACTCCAAAAACATACAATCCTTTTACCTGATTAGCAACAAATCCAGGTGTTTATTTAGTGTTTGTGAGGGACTGCCTTGGTTACTTCTCTGTTGTAAAACCCTGACAAGAGCGCCTTAAGGGAAAAAGGATTTTAGTTCCCCATCCTGGGCTACAGTCCATCCTGGTGGAGAAGTCATAGCAGCAGAGCTGGTCACATAGCTTCTGTGAGCAAGAAACAGAGACATGGAAGCATGCTAATGCAAAGCTCACTCTTTTAGACAGTCCAAGATCCCCTGGCCAGGGAATGGCCCCACCCACAATTAAGATGGGTTGGCCCGAGTCAATGGATATAATCAAGATAATGCCCTACAGGCATGCCCAGATGATTCTAGATTTCATCAAGTTGACAACACTGACCATCAGAGACTCTCGTAGAGCTGGGAATGAATCTTCGTAGTGGGACCCTTGCCTACCATACACAGCCCCAATACCACAGAAGCAAAAGTGAGTAGGTGGAGAATTATATGTGTTACATTAGAAATGTTGGGCTATTTAATCAGTAAAGTTAGTAATAATTTGGGATTTTCTAAATGAATCAGAATGCCTCCTTAAAATCTGGCTGGAATTTATTAGTTTTTCAATTTCTTACTCAAGTGTGAAATGCAGACAGGTATGCCTGTGTTCTTTGGCTGTCTCTGATTTTTCTGGTATTCTAAAATGGCAAACCAGCTTGTCAGAGGAGTCAGACATTGCTCAGCTCCTGTGGTAGACACATGTGTCTTCCTAGTGAAGTCGGGGGGGTCACGTTGGACTAGAAATAACACATTCTAGAAAACCTTTAACTACACTCTCCACCCAGTTGTCTAATTTGGAAAATTCAACATTTGAGAATTTTATTTGATTGGCTGGTCACGAAATTTCTTCAGATCCCAAGACCACAGGATAGGATGAGTGAGTAGGCTTGTTCCAGGAGGGAAGAAGGGGATTTGAGAAGGGGTGACTCTGTCCTGGTGCAGAGGTATGTAGGGATACAAAAAGAGTGCTCATGTGGGTGGCTGTATGTTTACCTGGCCCTACTCAAACTTCAGAGCTGCATCAGAACCCTGAGTGAAGAAGACATAGCTAAGAGAGTGGTACTCTCAACTTTTATATACACAAGGGTACCTGTGGGCATGACAAAGCTTTGGTACAAAGAGGGGCGGTGCAGCAGCTACACATTAAGACCTCATGGAGTCTGTAGTGGGGCAAAGAAAAAATTATAGAAGACAATCCCCACCAGTCACAAAAGCCACATTCTGGAGGCTTTATTTACCATAGACCATGCCCTGAGGACCATGGGGCAGGACTGTTGATGGACATGGGGGAGAAAGCTCAGGGCAGCTGTGAGTATGCTGTGGTACAGGCCACCTGTGCTGCCTGAGCCCACAGAGGACACTGGGCAGGTCAGACTCCAGGCTCACCCAGCCAGGATCCTTGCTAATGAATGGCTGGTGGCCCCAGAAAGGGGTTGCTTTTACAAAAAAGAAAAAGAAAAGAAAAAAAAAAGTGTCCTTTTCTTAGTTATTCAAAGTTGGGCTAGTTGTTTTGTTGTTGATGTTTGTAATTTCCTAGCTAGAAGTAGTTTTTTTTTCCACGCCAGCATACTTGAAAAGCCTTGCTAGAGAGAGAGAGAATGGTGGCTATTTTAAAAGATAGGGGATGGGGTTGTGGAGCACGGTGATGGTGCTTAACCCTGCCTGGCCTTATGTTTAAACCCCAACAAAGAAGAAAAATAAAAAGGAAAGATACTTGTACTTTTTTGCTTACTACAGAGAACAACATAATCCAGAGAGGAAGAATCAATTATTTATTGCATTATGTGCTGGCTAGTTTTATATTAGCCATATCTAATTATATTATATATATTATATTAGCCTTATCTAGACATAAGCTTAGAGTTATCTGAAAGGAAGGAACTTAACTGAGAAAATGCCTCCATAAAATCTAGCTGTAGGACACTTTCTTAGTTAGTGATGGATGTGGGAGGGTCCAGCCCATTGTGAGTAGTACCATCCCTGGACTGGTGGTCCTGGATTCTATTAAAAACACAGGCCGCACAAACCATTGGAAGCAGTCCAGTAAACAGCACTCTTCTATGGCCTTCAGATAAGTTCCTGCCTCCAGCTTCCTTCCTTGTTTGAGTTCCTGCCCTGACTTCATTCAATGATAGACTATGATGCCTATCTTAGGGTTTCTATTGCTGTGAAGAAACATCATGACCATGGCAATTCTTATAAAGGAAAACATTTAATTGGGGCTGGCTTACAGTTTGGAGATGTAGTCAGTTATCATCATGGTAGGAAGCATAAGGGCATGCATGCAGACAGTACTTGAGAGGAGCTGAGAGTTCTTCGTCTGGATCAACAGACAGCAGGAAGAGAGACCTGGCTTGAACATCTGAAACCTCAACACCCACCTAGAGTGACACACTTCCTCCAACAAGGCCACACCTCCTACTAGTGACACTCACTATGGCTCTATGGGGGCCATTTTCATTTAAACCACCACAACCAAGAAATGAAAGCCAAATAAACCTTTTTCTCCACAACTTGCTTTTTGGTCATGGTGTTTTATCATAGGTGTAATAGCAACCCTATGTCCCTAGACTGAGACCTTAAACCAACAATAGGTATTTATTTAGCATGTTTTGTGTCTGGGAGTGGGGTGGTCTGGCTGCCTCTGTTCTGGGAGGTCTGATGCTTCAGAGAGAAAACCTTAAGTTTGAGAGTTTCAAGCAAATGACACCAAACTGTCCTGTAGAGCACCTATTAACTGCATGTGATTGCGTGGATGGTAAATCAACATAGCAGTGCACTTCCTGGTTCATGCTAGCTGACCACCTTGCTCAGTAACCTGCTGTGGCCTGTGATACCACAAAGGGCAAAGAGACATGTGACTTTTCTCTTCTCATAGGAAGTCACATTAAAAACCCTGACCTGAAAGGTTATATTTCACTGTTGGCAATCAGCTGGAGGTATCTCCCATGTTCCCTTTACACAAACCCCCGTCTACCTCAAAACATGGTGGCCGAGTTCTAAAGGCAAAGGGCAGGGCCTACAGTGCATTTTATGTGGCAGGCTCACTTTCTATTGCATTGGGTTTTTGTAGTTTGTAGTTACAAAAGAAGGAAGCAGACGATCACAACTTGATAGAAGAATGATAGATCATATTATAAGCTCAAGAGAGATGGGTATTGCTGTGACTACCTTCAGGAAATTCATCCCCCTCAGAAAAGTTGTGTCCTATACATTTCTTAAAATAAGATCAATGAAGAAATTGATTATTTAATAGTTATAATATGTGAATAAAAACATATCTACATATATGTATTCTTTGTATGTATGTGTATGTAAAATGTGTGTGTGTGTAAATATGTGTGCATAAATTTGTGCGTGAATGCAGGCACCTGTATGTGGGAGTCAGCACAACTTTGGAGACCAGTCCTCAACTCATACCTTGTTTCAAGGCAGAATCCTCTTCCTTGCTTTTCCGCTATGTATCCTAGGCTGTCCTGCCTACAAGTTGAGGGGCTTCTCCTGTCTCTACTTCCCATCTCCCAGTAGGGGAGCTGAGATGGATGCTGGGTTATGTGTCCAGTTGTTGTGTCCTTCTGGAAATTCTAACTCACATCCCCAGCCACCATGCCATCCCAGCCATATATATTTTGTGTAAAAATAAAATAACTACAGAATTCTACTTAGCCACATATAAGAAAACATGAAACAATGGAAAGAATACCTGGCAGTATGCAAACCTTAAAGACAGATATTTGCCCACTGACAGTTTGGAGGAAATTATGAAGACTCTGGGTGAGCAGTTTATGTCACTGGGTTACCTAAGTTTGCAATATGAAAGCAGTAACCTCTGCCTACCAAAGAGTTCTAGAAATGTAAATTCATACTGAGACTCCAGAGTTAGTTTTAATTCCCTTTTTCTTTTTATATTTATTGAGTGTGTGTGTACATGCGCATGTGTATGCATATGTATGTGTGCATGTGTACATATGTGTGTACATATGTTTGTGTACATGTGTGTGCATATGTGTGTGTGAGACAGCAAACATGTATCAGTCAG